GTTGCTTTTGCAGAAATTTGTTGAGTTTTTTTCTTTCTTTTTTTTTTTTGCCGTCAGTTCTTGTTGCATCAAAAATTAACAGGTGTTCGACTGCTTTTTGTTGTTGGTTTTGTAGATGATGATTTCTGTTCGCTTGTTCGTTATGACACTAATTTTAAGTATTGAATTTTGTTATTTGTTGATTTTTTATTCAGAGGGTAATTCTTCCGACTTTTTTCCTGTCTTTCGCTTTTTTTTTTTTACAGCAGTAGTAGCAGCGATAGCTATAGCAAAATAATTGTTTTCCTCACCTATTTGTTGTCTACATTTTCGTTGTGAACTTTAACATGTTCAAATACATGTTTTTTCTTATCTGCCTGTGAGTTTCTTTAGCATTTTTTTTTATTGCACTTTTTTATTGATGATATAAAGGAAAAAAATGATAAAAATTGTTTGTTTCTGATTAGGTTCGATATTTCAATGATTGTTAATTGGTCATCATTGAGACAATTGAAGAACAACATGTTTTCATGGTTCAGATAGCAGCAGAAATGCTCAAGGTTTTTCGAAAAAAATTTTTTTTTTCAGCTCTGACAGTAAAGACGACAGCATTGTTGACGAAGACCATAGCACCGAAAAATCTGTTTCAGAAACCCTTCAGTGCCTCCTCTCCCCCGAAAAGATAAGCTGTGACTGTCGTCATTGTCGGCATCGTCATTGACTCCGCTATCGCTGGTCGCTTCACTGGAATTTGTCGACGGACTCCCTCTTAACGGTTACAACGGTAATGCTAGATTCTGAAGACTGTCGTTGTTAATTGCCGACACCGTTGATGCATTTTCATAAATTTTGGACTGAAACGGTTGTACTATGAAAAAAAGGGAAAAAAGAGACACTAAAGGTTCATCACTGTTATTGTCCCTTCATGATAACGACCAAATTGTACCAGATTAATTATTCTTAATTTCAGACAACTAAAAAAGGAGGCTGAAAAATAAGAGACAGAAACGAAGGGATATGCTAATGAATGTTTTTTAATTCTTGTACTTTTTTTTCAAAATTCATTTGCTATTTTTGAAGTGTTATCGTTTGTGGAAACTGATTATTTTCCCCGTAAAGTCGCTGCTACCAATTAGGTAGCCTCTACTAAGTAGCGTCCAGTTAAGTACTTTAGACAATGTCTAAATATAAAGAAAGATTTTTTTTTTTTAAAACCTTTGCTGGCGATATCCAGAGCGTTGTCGAAGTTTTTTGTTGTTGTTACACCATTGTCGTCATTGTTGTCTGTTGTACTGAAGTTAGGAAGAATCTTTTTTGCTTTTGCTGACTTTGAGGACTGTTTAGAAACAGCCCGCTTCCTCTTCCTCCTCCCTCCGCCCAGCACTTTCAAAAAATAGTTGAAGAAATGAGTGGTAAAAAAAAATCAGCGGAAACCGCTAAATATTGTCAACAAACTATTGAAAGGGAGACAGACCAGGAAAGAGGGGGGAGACATAATCAGCTTTTTTCGAGTTATTTTTAATTATTTTACAGTTGAAGGAACAGTAGAAAAAAAATGTTGCTGAAGAATGACAGTGAAAGTTTGGCTGAAGCGAAAAAAAATTGTATTAGCCAGAAATCGGAAAAAAATGTTTTACGCTGATAAAAACAGAAGAAAACTTGATCATTGATCACCGACAAATTTCGTCTATGGCATGAAGCAGAAAGAAAATAATGAGTGAAAATCAAAAAAACAAGAAAAGAAACGAAAAGAAGTAGCAGAAAACAGTTTACAATTCATTTTGTTACTTGCACAAAAATTGGTCACCAGTCATTAAAAATTTATAAGTCTTTTTTTAGTCCTACAAATTGTAATAAACCTCTACGTATTCGTTCAATCGCTGTTCAGAAAAAAAACTCAAAGTTGTGACCTACAAAATAAAAATTTGCTGACAATACCCACAGTTTATTCGTTCTTTTTTTTTTTTTTTTTTTTTTTTTTT